TTTCATTTTAAGGAGGATTACATTTTGATTAGGGATGAAAGATAACTTTCTTTCAAAAACCAATACAGCAAACCAACAGTTTTCTCATTCCAAATGCCGGTAAGCAATACATAGTGATAATAACTGATAGCAAGCAGCGATAAGCGATAACAACTGAAAATATACTTGGAAATAAAAAATGCTAATAACCACAAATGCAAGGCAATGACATCATCAACAGTCTGATCAAGACCAAAAACTTTTGAATCTTTAAAATTTTGAAATAAAAATTAATACTAAGCCAACATTTGCCAAAAATGTATCAACAGAAACCAGATATCAGGTGGATGTCTACATAAATAAAGTTCACTACTCACTGACGTAAAGAAAAACAGAAAACAAACAAGGTCTGTAGACAGGGGATTAAAATAAATATAAAAATGCATTCCACGAGTTTAAAACAGAAAATGGTCAGACCACTAAAGAAGTTATTGGTGCTACGCGCTATGATACCAGACCGATAATTTCTTACCAGGCGTTAATTACCAGGCCGATAGTTATCGTTCTCCCATAATTTTGATTAAATCTCTGTCATGATCACTCTTCATTGGTAAATTACCATTTTTATGTTTTAAACCCCAAAGACGTCTAAAACTAACTCTATGTTGCACCAATTCCCAGCAAACGCCACTTAAATACCTACAGAGAATAAAAATTGCTTAAATTTATCACCAAATAAATGCAATGTAAGTAGAAATTAAATGTTTCTATCACAGAATGGTTTAAATTTCCAAACAGTTCCACCTTAAAAACGACAGAAAAACTCATTGTTGTTGGTACTTGAGAAAAAGGAGACATTAATGACCTCATAAAGGCTCAGATTAATAAAAAATAAGGATTTTGTGCAGCTGAAGTCACAATTTAAGAGCAATCATGAGAATAAATAAGGAAATACAGGGACTTGTGAGTGTTACTTGACAGAAACCGTGTAAAAACGTTTTTCTTAGGCTCCCGTCTTTGTTTAGCAGTTTAAGGCTTGTGAGGCGCGCTGACATTCAAAGGTCATTAGTCAGATTTAAAGTGATGAAGCTGCAGATGAGGATGACTCAGAGATTATCACTCTGTGATCTGATTCCTGTTCTCCTGTACTTCCTGTAATCTATTTAAACGTCCACTTAGAAGAATTCAGACTCAATAACGACAGATTATTACGGAAGATTTTTACCTCATTTAAACTAATCTACATTAAGGAGAGTCATTAAGCCTCATATGAATGTTTAAGTGAAACATAATCAGGATTTGATCTCCTGCAGCTGCATAGAAAGAGAATTGACCAAATTTTCAGGTTATTTCTGAGGATTAATGATCAGATCAAAGAGCTGCTGGATGAATCATATGGTGTGAAACAGACAATGTTTCACACCATTTTCTGTAAAAAATAAAATAAAATAATTTAAAAAAGCAAAATATTGAATATTTACATTTCAGTAAAAAACAGTTGAAGACAATTAAACTGTTTAAATTCAGTTAAAGTAAATTAAAAACAGTTACAGAAGTGATGTAAAAATATTCTGTAACAAAACACATTTCTGTTGCTGTAATGTCAAACCACTTGTTTCCTTCTACTACCACTTTATTCTTGTATTTGTCCTTTTTCTCGCAATATTATGACTTTACTCTCAAATTTATTGTATTTTTTCTTAGTCTGGACTTAATATTCCATCATAGAGATCAAATTTTGAAGAAAAAGAACCAGAAATGATCACAAACATTCAGGTTATTGCTTCAATAAAAACACTAATCCTCTGATGTGGCTTTGCATTAAAGTTTTAAAAATGCGTTTGATTCTCTGTGTGTGTGTGTGTGTGTGTGTGTGTGTGTGTGTGTGTGTGTGTGTGTGTGTGTGTGTGTGTGCGTGTCACCAAGAGATTAGAGCCTGGTGAGGAAAAGATAAGCAGGCTTATTAAGAGGTCATTAATAAATTTGTTAATGAGCTCTCCATGTAAGACAATAAGAGGGAGAAGGAAAGGAAGATCATGCGTCTCTGTGTGTGTGTGTCATATTCCATATCAACCGTATCTGCAGGCCGTGCTAAGTTATCATTATGAGATGCAGCCTGTGACACACACACACACACACACACACACACACACACACACACACACACACTTCCATTTGCATGAAGAGGGCTTTTAGCGATGCCCTTGTACCCTCAATGACAGTATTTCTGCATAATTCAATAAGTGTGCAGATTCACACACACAAGGAAGCCTGCACACACCTAAACACACACCCTGCTAAACACATATGAGGGAATAATTGTTTAATATATAGCTTATGTAAAAATTCTATTACTGGTTCAGATTAAAGAACATTCATGTGCTTGAATGGCCCAGTCAAAGCCCAGACACACGTTTAGCTAGTTATCTGTGGCAGGTCTGCTAAATATGATACGACGGAGAGTTAGGGGCAGACTAATAAGAATAAACTATAAATAATACAAGGAAAACCTGTCAATAATAGGAGAATAAAGTTGTAAATAATGCGTGAATAAAATCATATCACCAAAATAAAGTTGTAACATGAGAAAAAAAAATTGTATGACAATAAAGTTTAAATAATATAAGATTAAAGTCACAATATAAGAGGGGAAAAGTTTTAATAATATGAGAAAAAAGTCACAATATCAGTAGAATAAAGTTGTACTACAACAGTTGAAATAATACAAGAAATTGAAATTATTACAAGTTTTTCTTGTACTAGGAGAAAAACTTGTAATAATAGGTGATAAAAGTTCCAATAATACAAGAATTTGGTAATAACATTACCAAAATAAAGTAGTATAACAATAAAGTCGAGATAATACAAGACAAAAGTTTTACTAATGGGAAAATAGTTGCAAAAGTATAAAAAAAAAGTCTTGATGTTACCAGAATAAAGTCGTAATATTAGAACAAATTAGTAAATTTATAAGAATCACAAATAAGAAAATAATCCTTTAACATATTAGCATCTAATTATCAGTAGCAGAACTTTGAAACAATTGAATCTCTCACAAATGAACCACTTAAATACTGAAGCCTTTTTCTCATTAAAACCACCTTTTCTCTCATAATTTATGAGAGAAATTTTTTTGTCATCCTGCATCTTCATTCTACTAATATTATGATTTTTTTTCTCACATTTAAGAAATAATACTTAGCCTGCCACTAATGCTCTGTCGTACTAGAGAAATACCACAAAAGACAAAGAAATGCTTAGAAAGTGTTTCAGAGAAAATTAATATATTATATAAGTTGTGAGTTTATATTTACAGCCATGAACAACTGGAGAAATATTAGAGCGTGAAGCAGCAACTCTGTAATCTGTAGTGTCAGCATGACGCGCAGCCTTTGTCCTCTAACAACAAGCTAAAAATGTTTGTCTGAACTTTTCCTCTGAAATGATCAGAGGAGCAGCAGCAGCTTTTCCAGCATGAATAAAAACACGGTAACTTTTAACGTCCCTCATGTGGACGACGCTCAACACACACATCAACACACACATCCAGTGATTTGTCAGGGTTGTTTTACACAGGGTGGCGAGAAGCGCCGCAGGCTGCAAACGGAGAAATGCTTTGTGTTGCGCTTAGCGAGTAAAGATTTCTGAGTCGGGTTCGATGGTCAATATATGCCGAGTCGGCGCTTTTCAAGGCTGTGCAACTGGATGTGGAGCGGAGGGAGGACGAATGCAGTTTACAAATGCTGTTATTTTACTCATGCTACACCACATGAAGCAGCAGTGAAGGCTGGATGCACTGCTGGTAGAAAGACAGTTTGTTTTGATGGCAGAAATGAGACCATGACAAGAGTTTATTCAGAATTAATTTAAACTAAAATTTACAGACACAGTGCATAAGCTTGCACCTGTGATGCAACCTTGATATTTCACTGTGCAGCTAAATATTTAGGTTGCAAGCCAAATATTTAGTTATGAACCTAATTATTTAGTTAGCAATTATATTTAGTTAGTAAGCTGAAACATTTAGTAATCATGCAAAATATTTAGTGACCAACTTAAATATTTAGCTAGTAGCCTAAATATTTAGTTTGCAAACTAAATATTGAGTTAGCAACCTAACTATTTAACTAACAACCTAAATATTTTGCTAGCAATTTAAATGTTCTGTTAGCAAGCTCAATGATTAGCTAAACCCCTGAATACTTAGCTAACAACCTAGATGTTTAGTTAGCAAGCTGGATATGTAGTGACCAAGCTAAATATTTAGTTATCAAGTTAAATATTGAGTTAGCAACTTAGCTATTTAGTTATCAACCTAATTATTTAGATATCAAGCTAATATTTAGGTTTAAGCTAAATGTTTAGTTGAAAACTTAAATGTTTGAATACTTATTTTCCAAACTAAATACTTTGCGCCAAATTCAACATTTAGTTTGTAAACTAAATATTGTGAGTTAAATATTTAGTTTTGAACTATGATTTTTTTAAATGTATAAAAACGTGATGAAAATATGACTTTGAAAAATGAACGAGCATTTTTTTTCTGTATGACAGACTAAATAAAAATAAATACTGCTGATAATTTTTTACTGTGTGACTTTACAAACACCACTCCATGCTCTCAGTCTTAACACCAAACAGTCGCACCTGAAAACCAAACAAACTATTGGAAATCTTCTCAAATGGATGATGGGAGACAACACCTAGCAGTCCAATCAGCTAATGTCTTTAACATCACCGTACACAACTTCGACTCAAGTTCCTGTGCATGAAGATGTAAAATGTAATTACTAAACTTCTGCAATTAGAGTAAAGTAGCCAATGACTCCCTCAACCAGTATCTGATGATCGCCTGGAATTCCCTCTAATTAAACAGAAAAAAGGCAGAGAAATCAAAGAGCAAAGCAACAGAAGAGAAGTGATCGTCTTATTGGAAAGCTGCCTCCCTCCCCTTTAACCCTCTGCAAGCTCTAATTTATGGAGGAAGAGAATCTCTGAGGATTTTAGAAGGAAGCAATTACCTCTGTTTTGCCTCGCTGTAACATGACAGTAATGATCGACCTGACAATAAGTCATTATGGCTTCGCATTTGGCTGCGAATCTGCAAGTGACCTGCAAGTCTCCGGTTTAGTCGCTCTCCTGGGAAACACCTAGCACCATACTGTAGTTTCTCTTCTACTCTGCACAAACTTTGAAGAAGAAAAATAATAAAGAATGCAAAATACAAAGACAGAAGATCTGGTATGAGTAGTTTTCAGACTTAGGGGTGCTCAAAGTGTGGCTAGGGGGCCATTCGCGGCTCTCTGGAAGATTTTGTTCAGCCCCTCCAACTACAATTTTTATTATATTTTTTTTTTGTGGTACAAGACTATTTCTGTTTTAATTAATTAAAAAATACAGAAATACAGAAATCCCTGACAAAATGAGGAAAATGGATGCAAACAAATCTTTTGGGAAAATTGCTTGCTTCATTTAAATTATTTCACTATATTACTGGAAATATACAAATAAAAAAAATGTCATAAGAATTTCTTTTTTTTAAAGTTGTTTGTTTTTTTTATTGTGCTCTTAACTTGACAAAATTAATTCAAAACCGGTTTATAAAATGTGGGTTAATCGAAATAACGACTTTCAATAATATAGCAACATTAGCATCATTAGCAGCCAGCGAACAATGCTAATGTTCACTGCTTTTCTTAACCTATTATAATATATATATATATTTACTGAAATACAACAAAAGGGAAAAATATGCAATAGTGGCTAATACACTGGTTATAAAGCAAAATTCAAAACGTTTTTGTAACAAAATATCACGGAATGAAGAAAAACACGTTACTAGCTTATTAGCCAGTAGCTATCTTAATGTTACACTCGGAAATTGTGCACATTTCTCTACATTTTATCAACCAACATGTATAAGTGTCTTCCAAACATATTAATACTTACAAAGACGAAAAATATCTCAAATACAAAGCGTGTAAAGTCAAATCACCGTGTTTTAGTGAGCCGTTTACTTTCTCCTAACGGCCTAAATTCTTGTTGGCATGGTTACCGGAGAAATACACGTCAAAGATAGTTTGTCGCTAAGAGTGCTCACTCGGTTGTGATTCAAAAAATACACTCGAAAATACACTCTTTGACAAAGATCGCTTGTAATACAGACATCCCATTCATATAAAATTTAACCCCCCCAAAAATTTTTTTTAACCATTCTTAGCTAAATGTATGACTAGTATAAAGTCATAAATATAAAGTTGTAAATTACTTTATTTCCACTCTAAAATAATTTATATTATTTTACTGAATAGCATCACAATGATGATTTTCTAAAATAATTTAGCTCTAATCGGGATATAATAATTACAGTAAAGCTAACGTAATTTATCCTCCTGTACTTTATCTGAAGGTGTTGTATCAAATAACAAACCTGCTAATTTTGACTCTAATCCCTATTTGAGTTGATTCGTTTTGAGCAAACCTCCTGCTGGTAGATGAGATTTACCATTGTCATATAACCCTATTTCCTCACAGTATCCACATGTGGGCAGTATGAGATGCATCCATTCAACACATACTGGCATAAAGTGGGCATAATCACTCATATCCAACTGATAATCTAATGTCTGAAGGAAAACCCTGAGTTTAGAGGAATCTCTCCTTCGTACTGAAAAAGAACCTCTTCAAAGATGAGGTATTTTCACCGTTTTCACTGCGTGTCTATGTGTGTGTAGGTTGCGCTCTGGCTCGAATCCAGCCTCCCAGACTGATGACACATTAAAGTGAAGGACACGTCATGCAGCTCTGCTCGTGTGAACCACATGGGAGCTGCACACAGGTAGACAAGGTGCTGCAATCAGCAAGGTGTCCCTCACATATCAAAGACACTCGCTGTGGGTCTCACCTTCATTCACTTAGCTTTGTTTCAAAGCAAGCACAACCATTCATCTGTTAGCTCTGTATTTATTTCCTATTAACAAAACACACACAGTGCACAACCTGCTCCAGGCACAACAAGGAATAGAAAATTATAAATATTGATTTATTTTGATTGCATTTGTTTGTATTTATAGATAAAATGTATGTAATAATTGAATTTCCTGTCACAGTTTATTTTTACATGTTTGACCAAGTTAGTCGAGTGTTTGTCAGTTTCTTTAACATTTAGTTTACATTGCTTGTTACGTTACTAATTGCAGTGACTAAACGAATTAAAATTATGTTGCTTTTACACATTTGACAAAGATATTTGTGTGTAAGTTGTACTGGTGCAGAGTTATCAAATAAGTTTGTAATTCAGTGCACTTATGTCTGTTTTTGTAAACAGAAATGTTTTGAGTAAATTCAGCGCTGTTTTTCTGGATCGGAATCGGCCGATACTAAACCTCAGATATCAGTAAGTCTGTCGCAATTAGTGAAGAATCAATTAATCGCATGATGAATTAAAACAAGCTTGACAATTTCAATTCTGATTATTAATCATTTTTTAATGGAAATTTAGTTTACAGAGACTTTATACCCAATTTTAATTATGACTTAGGATGGTGATGTTCATTTTCTATTGTTTTATTTATTGTGTTTAATTGCCATGTTTTACTTTGAATGTTCAAAGTATCTTCTAGTTCCAGTGTTAACTGTTCTTACAAAATAAACGTTTATCAGGGTTGTAGAGGGAAAACTTGCATTATTATCCCTTTATCAACATATTATGGTATCAAAACAACAATATTTTTGCCAGCCACTGTCCTCTTCTGCTAGAGAGGCTGGACTGACAGACCGGACCACCAAGTCAACGTGATCTTTAATTTATCTTGTGATCTATATATTTTCAGTGATGATTTCTAAGTTTCTTTCCCAGATGTCTGGTCTGTCAGTAACTCCTGCCTCTGTGATCAAAGGAAATTAGCTCGTAATTAGATACACACGCAAGCAGAAAGGCATGCACACGCAGTCTTTTCCCATAAGGCCAGTTTGTTCTGTGGTTTCACGGACAGCAGGTGTGTGAGAGGTTAACACACACACACAGAGTGAACGTGTGATTTAAAGAGCTGTCTTCTGGACAGTGTTGCTCCGGTCAGGGACGCTGTGGCGGCGCTGAGAGAGAGATCAGACTCTCCACATTTGGCTGGGATTCCTGCCCCTCATCTCCCCGCCACGTTTTGCCACGCAGCCCTGAACCGCCGTCACCATGTGGCGCGCGTCCCGCTCAGCTGTGCGCGCAAGCCATGCGGCAAATTGATCGCATGTGAAATGCTAATGCGGGCTTTACTGTCCTCTGCATGTTAATATCGCAATTTAAGCCATAAGATATCGATTAAAAGGGCCAGCGCACTCTTCTTGTGACATTGAGGACACCGAGGTTTAAGAGCTCTGGAGATGTGGCATGCTTGGGTAGATAAAATGTGCGCGGCACAATCTCAGCTGGAGGTCATTTCAAGTGTGGAGCCACCAGATCCGAGGTCCCTCTGCTTCATTGCCCTGCTCTAATTACACTTTGGTGTTGTCTGCGCGGTTCTGTGCCAACAGCAATCCACAGAGTCCAAACAGCTCCTCTTGTTTCTGAGAGAAATCAAACATACACCATTTATTACTGGCTGGTAGAAATGAAAGCCGTTTGGAGGGAACAGAATGATCACCAAATGTCCAAATTATGAGTTATGTCTGCAGTTGAGGCTGTTTCAGAGAAAAAAGTTAGTCTGGTTGACTTACGGTGATGTATAATATAAAGTACAGAGAAGAGGAGGTTCGTTGTTAACAAACTTCCGGAAAATTGTAAAACAGGCAAAACACTGAATTCCTTTAAATCTAAAGCCCTTCTGTTTGGAGTTGATTTTAATAAGTGAAACACTAACAAACATTTTGATGTGTAATTGGAAACATGCAATGTTTCAATGACCAATTTTTCAATTACTGTTGTTGAAATGTGCTGTACAGATAAAATTTGATTTGATTAACTAAAAATAAGAGGATTAAAAAACTGGTTTAATCTCAGCTTTACATATTTTGTTTCACCAGTATCCAATAGAAACGAAAAATATGTTTTTTTAAATATTGACCACTGCTGTAGGTACATTTCTCATACAGAAATGCTTTATTTTATAATTTTATCATACATGTGGAATGTTGCTTTGATTGAGAAATCTGTTACTCTCCATTCATCTGTGGAAAACACCTGGGTGGACATAGCTCCGCCTTCTAGACGCAGCTCCTCCTTACTGCTGTTCAAATTCAAAAATACTTTTTTTTTTTTTTGCTCTTTCAGGCATCTCTTCCAGGCTTCCAAGACTCAGAGCAGCTCCTTCAGACTAGCTAGAAGTAATTAGCAAACACCTGGTGGAACAATGCATCTTATTTTAAGAGCTTAAATGTTGGTAAAAACATTGTGAAAGGGTTAATAGAGGAGCGGTGTTTTGTTGAGCTGGAGTTTTTTAAAGGAGACAGAGACCCAATTTCAATCAGGAAATAAAATTTTATTTAAGTAACATTTGATTTATGTGGTATTTTCCAAACAACTGGAGCGAATACAGTTGCTTGATTTGGCTATACAATGGAAAACATAAACCTGCCCCTACATATTGTATTGACATAGATATTAATATCAGATTGGTGCATCTCTACTAGCAACTAGACCAAACATAATTGGTAAGATTTGGTGTTTTTGCAGGTGATTGGGCAAAATCTCCAACAGGAAGTCAATAGCAGAGGGTCTGAATAAAACGCAGATTTTTACCAAACTAGCTGACATGGCCATCATCTGTGTTATATTGTGACTGGACCAAAGATAAGATGATTAGGAATGGTGAGAGGCGAGAGCCGGAAAGACCCTGGGACAGACAGTTATAAGAGTCTAGATGTCCTTGAGATGATAAGTGTGGAGGGGGATCAAGGCTGTGGCGAAGAGGGAGAAAGAAGAAAGGGAGGTTAGACGGAAAGAAGAGGAGTGAGGTGATGGATTGAAAGGAGGGAGGAAGATAAAACAGTCCTCACTAAGCGTGGATTGTCCACAGCGTCCGCCCAGAGATGAGGCAGTAAATTTCCCCGGATTCAGTGTGCGCTCTCCAAACGCCGCTGCACATTATTGATAAATCAGTATGTGTTAATGAGAGAAGCCAATGTGGTCTGATGAATCATGACACAACAATGAGCCTTAAACACACACACGCACACACACACACACACAGAA